CGCCGGCACCTGGAACGACATCGCTTTTTCAACCACTGGTGACGAGACAGAATGTGAGAGGACAGGCATATCCGCCACCACCAAAGAGCTTCTGCGCTTGAGCAGTGTAAGGGGGTTGATCTCGCCTCCAAGTTCGGCCGGAACGGCGGGTGCTGGTTTGAGGAATTCCCAGTTTCGGACTTTGTGACGTTAGCACTTGTTCTTTTGGATACAAATCAGGATTAGGAGAGTGGAGTTCAAACATACCGAGATCAAGACCGAGTAGATCACATCCCATGCGATCGTACAGTCGAGCATTGTGTAAAACAAATTCCCACTCAACCTTTGGCGTGACTTTGGATGCCCCGCGGAGCGTCTGGAGTGTTTTCTGTCTTAACTGAGCGTAGAGGACAATCAACGCTGGGTCGTCTGTTAGGAATGACTTCGACTGGAGATCGGAAGACCCGGGTGTTTCCAGAAGCGTGTATACAGGCGTCTAGTGTTGAGTATGTTAGCCAACAACAAATCTCTCGTAGCCTCGAAGAAAAGCAAAGTAACTTACTATCAACGCCCTAACCGCCATATCCCGCCTATGCAACATCCAGAACGCCCAACTAGCGAGCCATCTGTTACCATCCTTCGCCGCAATGGTAAGGACTTCCTCCTCGAGCAGCTTTCGCAAGACTGGCCCATGGTCCCCTTCATATACCCTCGTTATCGCGATGGCTAGTTGCAAATCCTTGAGCTGGTTCAAGCAGACATTGACGGCGTCCTGTAGATGGTCGGCCAACAAGAAGAACGCAGCAGCATACGCAAATCGCCTCTTGCTCATGAGCGCATAGGCATTCTTCAAAGCAGCCGTCCGCCACTTGGGATCATCGAAGTTGTTGGCCAGGAACCGTTGGGTTGCGCCTTGCTCACGGTTCCAAGAAGCCATTCGCCATAAGCCTTGGAGAACCGTTTTCTTCTTGAGTGCCAGATAGAACAAACTACAGTCTACCGGGTTCTTCATTTCGCTCTTGGTGTATTCATTACGAGCGATGATCTCGAACTGGGTTTTCTAGTAGTGGGGAAAATGGCATGTTAGCATTCCGCGGCGCTAGATGGTCAATGTTCGAGGGTACAAGCTTACCACAGCAGTAGTATCAGTCAACCACATAAATATACCGGCTTCCCTGGCATCCTCCCACAGCATCGGGCCATGGTGTTGTCTTGAAACGAAGTCCAGCAGGATATCCTGACTACCCGAATGGTATGCCCATGCAATCTCCCTCCACGACATATGGTTCTCATTTGTCCTCCTCTTCCGCAGCGCATGTTGTCGATAGAAAAGCATGAACCTGGCGCCATTCTCATCGAGTGACCTCCTTTGTTTCTCAACTAGTCCCACACATTCCACAATATCGACTAGTTGAATCTGTTCATGGCCCGAAAGCTGCGGCAGGCCAATCTGGGTCAGTTTCTCGCCAATTTTCATCGCCACCTCTTCGCTGAAAACTTCATCGTCCCCGTCGTCGAGCGACATGCGGCGGTCACCGGAGAAGTAGTCCCCATGATCGTTCCTCTGTTTCCGTGGCTGGTTGTCCGTATACTCGCCGGACCAAAAATCCTCAAGAGAAAGGCCCAGGTAATCGTCAATCATCTCACCTTCCACCCAGAACTTGAGCGTCTTGTGGAGAGCCAGCAAAACCCGATGGACCAAGGCGATCTTGCCAGAAAGAATACACTGACTCAAGAATTGCGGATGGAACACCGGTAATGGGCCGTTCAATCGCTGCACTACCTCGAACAAATCCCACTTCCCACCCTTGCGATGGGGCAGTCTCAGGCTCGTGATGAGTGAACTTGACACATCAAAGTGTCTGTCGTACACAAAGAACTGATTGCCAGCACCGATGACAAGATGTCCATCGCCTAGCCAGGTGGAATCGCCGATAGGATGGGGAGTGAGGATACGGGTGCTGATTTCCCTGATAGGCGCCCAGGCAGGTCCCTTGTTGAGGTAATCAAAACGCATCTGTGAAAGGAGCAGCACCCGATAGGGAAACCCTACGGCTAGAATAGACTGGCCATCTGGGGTTGAAGTCCAGTCGAGGTCACGGATGGTATTATGGTTCTCAAAGTCCTGTGAGAACTCAAGACGGCCGCCCCGAACACCCCAAATCGTGAGTTCTGATCGGGTCGAATTGACTAGGGCTGCCTTTTTTATGCTGTTGCCGCTGACAAGTGTCGGGCTGGATAGCCCCGTCTCCATGGAGCTCGTAGAAAGCCACTCTACGTGTTGCTTTTCTTGGTCTACCCTGGCCGTCCAGAAATCAACTCTTCCTGAGTGTGTGTAGGAGATGGCGACATCACGAGCGAAGACGTCAAGGAACCCAGACACCACAGGCGAAGAGCCGGCAGGATCCACGGGAAGGACATATGCCAAATCACCAGCATCCTTGAGTTCAAACTTGGTGAACTCTCGAACTGTACCTTCTTGGTGGTACCCACTGCCGTTCACAGCGGGAACATTTTCCTGTGGCTTATAAAAAGGCAGCTTGACTTCCCAAACAACACCTTGCTTCTCCGATGTTATGGTAGCAACATGAGCGGTTGTGTAGTCTTCTACATGCTGCCTTGGAAGGATGATCAGACAGAGCGGCTTGCCTGGAACGTCGTAGTCTATTTCTGATAGCAACACAGGATTCGTCTTGCGACAATCCCAGAGGGAGATAGTTTGTTGTCGAAGGTACAGGACAAATCGACCTTTACGGATGAGACACATTCGATGGACATGGCTATCGAGGTTGATGACCGCCTGTTGAGAAAGCCTAGTCCTCTCATCGTTGAGCTCATGTTTCCAGACGATACTTTGGCCCGAGTCTGTCCGTGACACAATGGCCCGACCGCTATAGTTTCGGACGATCTTCTTGATAGGAGCAGAGTGACCAGTCCACAGGCATCTGAAGCTCAACCGCTTCGTCCGCGGAGTTGGGTCAAACAGTGAAGCGACGTTGGTGCGGTAAACCTCTACCGTGCCGTCAAAGAAGTGTAGCAAGATACGAAGGTGGATCCCAGTATTGCAGTAACTGTATGCCTCGACGTGAGGCACGTCTGTTGTGACGCCCTTCAAAAAGTCGAATTCTGGTGAAGAGATATGAGCCACGTTGAAGATGTTACACTTTTGTGACCTTGATCCAACGTTCTCGAGGCCCCAAGCTGACATACGGCCTCGACCATCCAACACGACAACGACCTCGGGGCTCCGATTAGCCACCGCAATGACGTGCTCAAGGGCTGTCGTATCTTCCTTTGGCGGAGCTTCCTGAACGGCCTTTTCTGTCGCCGCAGACAGATCTCTACCATGCAGTATGAAAGCCCAGCGGAGGGGAGATACAGCTGAGTCCTCTAGTGTGCGATCTTGTATCGACACAGCCAGGTCTACCGCTGCATTGAGTTGAAGATGTTGGTGGCTATGGCCATCCGAGCCTGTCCAGAGCCGGAGTCTATTATCAGTGCAAAAGGTGTAAAGGACATTGTCGATGGTCTGATCAATGTGACGAGGCCGGCGCCACTGGATGTTGGTCACGGCCTGGGGGTGCGGTAGGTAGAGAAAATCGAAGCGCACATCGTCGGACCCGTAGCTGAGTCGTCGCCAGACTGTCACCAAGCGGTCGTACTGGCCCACGGAGGCGATATATGCGGAATCATATGACACGCTAGCAATCCGAACGGGGTTGGCGAGGCGTTTGCGCCAGAGACATCGAGGTGTAGATGACGTTGTTTGGTATAACTCGAGATGCGAATGTGCGACTACCAGTTCTTCGGATGCGCCCCAGGAGAGAGAGATGGACGTTCTCTCTTCAGCCACATACTGATCATCCCGCTCGACGTGGAAGGAACATTGTAACGCCCACTGTGATGCGACGAAGTCAAATCAGCGTTAGCGCATCTTGAGCTCGGCAACAGGAATCGTACGACGAAGGCGCACAACATACCCTAAGAGCGTCGTCCTCCTGACCGAACGGTTTGTATATGCGCACGGCGTTATATGTGCAGACGGCTATCTTGCCCGAGGCCTCATCCAGGGCGATAGCCTCTAGAGGCTCCTCGTTGTCATCGTATATGGTCTGTAGGATGGTCTTTTGTTCTCCGAGGATGGCAATGGCGCTGCCGGTGATGTATGCCTGGTTTGGGTGAATATGATTAGCAAGGCTGCCCAGAAATTAGAACCAGGGAACAAGAAAAGTGCATCTCACAGTTATGCGACGAGAATCCCAGTAGCCCGTTGCCAGAGCTTGAAGCCGGGATTCTGGCTTTCCGGGCAGGACAGCTTTCATACTAAACTACCGGCGAGGAATGCTGCTACTGCTAGCTAACATTGCGACGGGCAGTCGATATGCGCGGCCTTGACTTGACCGGTATTAGGTAAAGGAATTTCTAGAGCGGTTGAAGACAGGTGGCGTGTTTACGATGCAATTGGTGGTGTTGATGGATGCGATCGATGTCCGGTGATGTGATGCGTGTTGTTACTAGCTAGCTGCTGCGGTGATGGAGGGTCGGGGTCTAAAGGTGCCGCCGGCAGCCCCTTACCCCGTCCGCTATGTCCACTGTGAGTCCCTTTGTGGTTGCCCACGGTTCCCTATGACGTGGGGTTAGGTACTCCAGGGGAAAGGTAGGATGGCCATACTATTAGAGGTAGAGAAATGAAAAGCAACGATGCAAAAAGTTAAAAAGAATATACCTTTTCCGTTTCCAAGGTAAAGTTATAGCCAGAACATGCCCGTATAAGACAGAAAGCCACAAGAGGATTTATCTGAATGCGTAGCATGGTCGTGTGTTTCCGCTACCAGCCGACCGCAAAGCACCAGTGGGGCCAAAGGTCCATTCAGGGGTATTTGTTTACTTGACGTCCTCTATCCCAAATAAAACGCAAACGCCACTTACACATTCGCCAAACGTGCCTCATACGCAGTTTCTACATCTATCTTACACTAGATTTTGATACCCCAGGCAACACAGTAGCATATTGATCACCTCTAAGAAGTGCCCGGTACGCCCTTAAGTACGCCGTTATCATCATACTTGGCCTCTGTTAAGAAAAGGATCAACCGTTAGCTTTCTGTCCCATATTTCCCAAAACTCCAAATCCCCTAACCCAAAAGACCATTGTAAAAACTAGGAGAGAGAAACTTACTAAAGAACGTATAAGACAACGTAACAGTCTCAATCCCCTTCATGTTCAAATCATTTAAATAATCCGGATCCAAATAGAAAAACACGGGCATATCCACCGTCTCGCCGGCGTTCAGCCTCTGCTCCTCAAAGCAGAAGCACTGGATCTTGCTGAAGTACGGCGCCACCTGGGCTGGGGTGACGCTGTACGTCGCGACACCAATAATGTCCTTGTCGCTCTTGTTGGTGGCAGTATAAAAGGCCAGGGCGGTCTCGCCGGGCAAGACCCGCACCTCGCGCTGCTGGGGCACGAACTTCCACGGCAACACGTCCGACACCGAGGCGTTGAAGGTCACGCGCATGCGCTTGGCGTCCGTGACGGGCTCGAGCTTGGCGGCGAGGTCGACGTCGGCGTCGGAACCGAAACCGCCGGCGCCGTGGGCGCGGACGGGTTGGCCGCCCCAACCGGTGGTTTGGCAGATCTGTTTTGTTGCGAGAAGGTATTAGAGACGGACAATTAGGTGGACATGTAGGGTACGGAATGGGTCGAGAGAAGAAAGAAGAACCACAGCATACCATCTTATACATAGGCACCGAGCCATACGAGAACGCCACGGTACCCAGAATAATACTAATGACATAGTACATGGTCGATTGATTCCTCTTCTTGTATTCGAGCCTGACTTTCTCCATCTCCGGCGACACGCCCGTTCTCCTAGTCTGTTGTTGTTGTTGTTGTTGTTGTTGCTGCTGCTGCTGCTGGCGTCTGCTTGCGCCCTCGGTCGAGAACCATCTCCATGCCCTGCTGCTGCTCTGTTGCTGCTGCTTCTTCGTGCCCGATGCTTGTTGCTGTGACGTTGTCGTCGTCGTCTTTCCCCGGGGGGTAGAGGAGCTATCGGACGACGTAGAAAGTTGCCGGCGCCATTGTTGGTTCTGGACGAATAATAGTTGTTGGCTGCGACACGAAAAGCAGGCCCATGACGAGGCCGCCAATTGGGAGGATTGAGTACCGACGGCTCTTCGGCCGACGAAGCGTGGCACCGAACTCATGGTTGGTGCGAAAGGTGACTGATTATGTTTCAGTCGTCAATCTTTACTTTGACTCCGGAAGGCGGGATGTTAGTGGAGGTGGGACCGGAGACATGATTGCACCTCTCTGACTCTCAGTGTGCTGCGAAGGCGTCGGAGCTCTGAATTCTCACCGCCTAAATTCGGCCGGCACAAAATGCGGGACGTCCCGCTCGCAATTGAATCGCAAATTTCACAGGGAAGGCGCATATGGACCTCCGTAGTTGCAGGCATCACAGGTGTTATTTAACATGATCGGATTTGAGATACGAAATATAAATGACAGGTAGTAAAGTGCAAGAGGCTAAACTGAAAAAGAGTTGACAAAATATATAATTAGTTTACTTTGACTTAATTAATTTAGTAAATTTAAAGTTATAAACATGTTAATAAGTTAGAAGCTAAGAAGTTAAATGTTTCTATAATCTTATTTTAATACAATATGTTGTTTAGTAATTTACAAAGAACAATCTTAGTTTCTTCTACAACTTGGCAACGCGAAAAAGTATTATCAGCAAGGATAATATACCTAATATTATAATCGCTTATTAACACCGATCAAAACTCATCAACGTCGCTTTCTTCTCCAACACTAAATACAAGCTCATTGTCGTCGTCCCCATCATCCTCATAGTCCGGATCCAACGCTCCTTCGTTCAGCTGCCAGTCTACACCTTCAGCTTCAAGCGCCCGCTTAGTTTCCTCTTCTAAAAGATCGACACTAAAGTCGAGCGGTAGGTTTGTAAAATGTGCTTCCTTCGCCTTAAGGAAACTTTCTTCCTTCACAGGTCTTAACGGCGAAAGATACCGTCTAACACTCTCACCAAATTGGCGCTTAGTTTCTTGTTGAAAGGCGTAGAAGCTAGCCTTCAGTGGCAAGCGGGGATCTTCATCCAAATGGGCTTCTCTCCGGAACAAGCCGGTCTCGACATACTTCGGCCCCTGAACAACGCCAAGAGTCCGATCTGGCAGTTGTTGAAGTTGCAACTTGGACAAATAAGATCGTCCCCTTGAGATGCCGGATTCCGAATCCAGCAGTTGTCCTTGAGCATCATGGGTGGGCGGTTCCGGTTCCGGGTGTGGGATAATCGACTGCGGACGCCGAATTCTCTTCGGCAGCTTTTGTCCTGGGACTTTCATATGCATGAACAGGGTGTGGTCGTTATGGTCTCCCTCATCTTGTTCGTTGAGTGACAGGAAGAACACTCGTCCACTGGCATCGCCAATGATCAACCTGGACTTGTCGGGCGAAAACATGCCGCAGGAAACGGACGAGGGAATCTCCAAGAGGTCGCGGACCAATGGGTTACGGGACCGCACATTCCATACCTTTACCACGCCATCGGAGGAACCGGTGTAAAACCGGTCAAGGGTCCTACCCCACGCCGTGAATTTGACACCCACATCCTCATGCTCACGGTCACCCCTAAACTCTTCGATAGGCTCTCCGTGGCGTAGGATATGGATCGGCTTATCTCCTTGAGCGGTGTCCCAAACATATGTATTTCCGTCTGTGCATCCCGCCGTGACGTAGCAAGAACCGAAGCTAATAGGCATAACAGTAAGCTCGTTGATGTCGCACGCCCAGCAATCCAGTGTCTGAATAGGACTGAACGATTTTTCGCCATGTTCAGAGATAGAAGACGGGGTATAAACCCGAATCTGCGTCCGGGTATGGTAGTCCGTATCCAGGCCCAGTGGTGAAGTGGCCGCGATAAAACAGGCTTGAGTGGGATGCCATAGAACCTCAAAAAACGTTTTGGGTGGTAGCGGAGGTTATCCGCCACCTTTCTCCCGTGAGGCCGTCCCACAGACAGAGCTCTCCCGTCTCCCTACGATCGGGAGGAATATCAGTGTCATCCCCGGTCCTGCTACGAGGTGAGTAGCCGACCAAAAGCAGATGTCGAACGGTTGGCGAGCGACCCCATTGCATAGTGGCAGGAAAATAGGCCCATCTCTCGGTTGAAACTGTGTTGCCCTCTGCGTCTTCCACCCGGGAGCAAGAGAAGGAGCGATACGGGGAAGCCGACATCAAGCCTGAGTCGTTACTCTGGATGTTGTATATACGCACAGCATCCGTAGGAACATCTGCTGCCGTTGCAACCATAGCAGTGGAGGCATACTTTGAGGCAGCCACAAAGTTGACATTGCCGCCGTGAGGCCACTCGCCCAATGCAACCATGGAGGAACCCGTTGGGTCTACCTTCCAAATCTTGACTTTCCGGTCAAACCCCGAGGTAAAGGCGCGATCATGAATGTCGTCATAGTCCGAGGCGACAACAGACGAATAGAGCCATGGGTCTTGACTCTGTCTCATGGCATCGGTGGAATTTTCGCCCTTCTCGACGACCGGCCGGACGATTCGATGATCGGCATATGCCCGCAAGGTGCCCTGACTGCAAGATCCGAGAACGAGATTGCCGGGTTTGTTGTATTGCTGATTGTGAGCATCTGAATGCTCCGTTGTCCCGCAAATAAAGCCGTCGTTTGATACCCACGCAATAGTCGCAATATCTCCAGCACAGTCGGTCCATTCTCTTCGGAGCTCCAACTCATCCTCATGACACTTGACGAACTCGTTCGGGAAGTTCATGGGAGCCCTCAAAGTCATGCCGCGGTTACCAGAGGTTGCCCTGGCGAAGAGAAGCGAATTAATTTGGCTCGAACGAGCGAGCTCGCCATGCAAGTCGTATTTGTCCCTCTTCAAAGCAAGTATCGAAGGATCCCTGGATACCTTGTGATTAACTAGGTCATGGAGGAACCGTTCGATGGCTGCTTTGTCTCGACGCGAAAGTTCTTTCTCAGACCGGATGGCGTCTAAAACCTTGAAAATTTCTCCGCGATGCTTCTTGAGCTGTTTGCGGAGGTCTTTAGCAAGGTCTTGTTTCCTGCTCCCAGATGATAGGCCCAGGACTCTCCGACAAAGGTTCCGAAGAGCCCTGATTTCATCGGCGGTAAAGTCGACATGAAAAGTTGTGGGCCGAGTGAGTATGGAGTCATCGAATCGTACAAACTTCTGCACACCAACTGAGATGTTGGCCCTCTCCTCTGCGGAAAGATATGGTCGTTTGGCCTCAGTGAACAGTCGCGATGCTAAACCTTCAGCGCTGTCCTCATGTCCCCGCCAAGCCAAAGCGTGGGCTCGACTTCGATAATTCTGTGCTGAGGTCGTGACTACACCACGGTTTTGCGACCTCTTTTCTTCTTGGGGAAGACCTCTACGTCGTTTAGACAGCCGGCCTCGATATATCCTCGGTTCTGGCACAGAGTCTTCAGGCAGGTTGTTAACAGAGGGCAGTGGCTGGGCAACAGATGTCGATGGCGGGTCCAGAATCACCAACGAGCCAGCAGGTGAGCTGGGTTGAGGCACCGGTATGGCTGCCGATGATGGGGCCCCCTTGCCTTCATCATCCTTGATAGTGATAACCTGCGATGGCGGTGACGGCGGCAGTATGGCTGGTCGGTGAATGCCTGTCGTCGCATGACTTGCATGACTGGGAACAACTGGAGCCTGAGGGTATCGCAACCCTGAAGGAGGGTTTACACCTCTATTGTATGGCTCCTGACGCCCAGGCACCACTGGAAGAGGTATCGGGGACTTGGAGTAGCGACGTTCATTGGCCCCGGGGAATGTAGGGGGTATACCCGAGCCCGAACCCGGACGCGGAGGCGGAGGCAGCAGCGGGGCCGTAGCATAGCCGGAAGGCGCGTGGTGAGGAGGTACTTGGACAGGTGGCCGTGGGACCTGCGGGACCAGGGGAACGGGTACCGGAGTGTACGATTTAAACCGATATTGCTAGTAGATATTAGCGATGAATACTGTACCCTCCCAACGACAAAAAGCAACACATAAGTAAACGTTATTAATACGCACGGGGTCCATGAGCAATGCGCGGGTTTCCACCGGGATACGGGCAGCCAAAAGTCGTTCGAACACATCGCTAACACGCCCATTCCCGAGCTTATAAGCGGCCGTAAAGTCGACGCCAGTAACAATCTCGACGACCTGGATGAGGACAACTAGGGGTAAGGCATGGGAAGGTAACCAAAAGAATGTTTAAAAGGGTTATAACGGGGAGTAGAGGGGAATAGAGGTAACTGACGGGAAAGCCATAGCATGCTAACCTTTGTTCCTATTTTCTTTACATCGTACTTGTCTCTGGGCAGCTTTACCAATTCCCTGTCGACGTGTGGAAACACTTGGTCTGCAAGACACTTGGCAAAGACGTCCTGGTCATTCCAAGGGGGAGGAGTAGGCTGAGGGTGGCCACTCTGCTGGAGATGATTGTGGCTGGTGGGGGTTGTGGTGGTGGATGGAACGGTATCGGTTCGCTGCCGTTTGAACGGCGGATGTTCGAGACCATCCGGCTGGTGCCTCGTCTCGCCTACGCGGAGAGACGCGTTGCTTTGGGTATTGCCATTCACAAATGGTTGCGCATGGGTTGTGGTCGGAGCGACGGTGGTGGCACCGGCCGAGGAGCCGTTGGTGGGCGGGACACGCGCGGGATCTCCAGGCCTAAGTGTAGTAGATGTGTTTGTTAATACTAATCCGCGAAAGGTGATCTGATTTGGCGCGCTGCTAGAGATATCTTATCTTTTAATAGATTGAGACGAGGGTGAGGTGGTGGTGATGGCTAGTGTCATGGGGGGATTGATAGCAGAAACAGGGAGATGATGTGACTAAGAGGTAGGCGGTCAACAGCTGCCGAAGAAGAAACAAGGCGACTTAAACTGAATAGAAGGAGAATATTTGCGGAAAAGAAAATAAGTAGCTGACGAAAGAAGACGACAAGCCCGATGTGATAATTTTTTAAGAAAAAGCTACGTACCTAGCTTTCATTTCTAAATAGTTCGCGGTCGTCGTATGCGATTTGGAAAGAGGAAGAATCAAGTTGTATTTTGATTGAGGCCTGTGTTAGATTAATCATCTAGCGAGGTATGCAACGTCACGTGATCTTATGTAAGCGACGACAAGTTGTAAAACGAGCTCCGTTAATTATTAAGCTTATACTATATTATCCTACCTAAAAATAACTTAAAGTAAAGATATAATTGAATAAAAGTTCAAAGTGCGATAAGACTTATACAATAAACTTGAATATATCCAACAAAAGTGTCACAGGTTGACATTGGCTATATAGTGTGCATTCCGAGTTCTGCCTTGCAAGCAAAACATCGTCCTATCTTTTGTAGGTTTGGCCGTCTGGGCATATGCACCCCAGCCTGTCACAAAAAGCTATACTAAAGTTATCTTTATTATCAACATCATCTTACATCTTTAACGCGCTAGCCCAAACAACATCTTTTACTCCGTTTACAATTCCTTTCATTAGCCAAGTCCGAAAGCTTCGATGTTCGCTCCGTTTGATACTTCGCAAAGCGGACGTGAGCAAGCAAAGATTAAAGCAAACGATTTCCATCTGATGCAGTCGTGATCGGCCCGCCGTGCAATGCAACGAAAATCCACTACCGGCGTCTGCTATCCTTTCATTCCCGCAACCAAAACGCAAGGGGAAGCAAGAAGGCAAGTCGAGCGCAAAAGGCAGGCACGCTAGAATGACAGGACAGGACAAGCGACCGCGCGTGTGAACTTTGATGTCGTCCGGACAACCTAAGAAGTTCGCTATGGGACCCTGGAGGCTTGGAGACGCAAGGTCACGAGTTCGTATGCGACGGGCAAGTTTGCGACAGCTTGGGACGCTGCGGCATGCAGCGAGGTTCGATTTGTGGACCCCATACTCAGATCTTTTACGGCGGTTCGTAGAGCGCCGCTAGAAAGATTGAAGGGAGGTTTCTTCAACTAAGAGATAAATGAGTGCACTTCACACGGAGAGCGAGCTAAGTGAAAATCTTTTACTTATGTTAAGAAATAAACATGAAAGCTGCTTATGTAAACAGCATCTTATAATATTCTTAATTATAATTATACTTTAAGTAGTCGTCAACAAGTCCAATTTGCAACCTCGAGTTACTGCGCGTTTTGAACTGCCAAGATTATATAACCTTAATTCATTATATAGACAGTACCTTATGCAAGCAATGTATGCTCCACTCCATACATTGTACTAATACCCCTAACGAGTAACTAAGCTCCCCATAAGCTCCCTTCCTCTATACTGCTACCCAAGTCATAACCATTCCCTTTTCTCACATACGTCTTCACGCGTGAGTAGTTTAACCCCTCCTCTTCTTGCCGCCTTGGTGGCCGCCGCCACCAGCGCTCGCTGTCCCCTCACCAGCACCAGAAGAAGACTCCTCCTGCTTGGCGCTGCTGGTACCAGCAAGGAAAGCAGCCATATCAAAGTTCGACGCCGCAGGAGCACCACCGCCGCCCATGAGAGCGTTCATAGGGTTCTTCTTCTGATTCTCTTCCCATTCGGCGCGCGTTTCGGGGTCCACTGAAGAGGGCGTTGTTAGCAAATTGTCACCTAAAAAGACGGGAAAGACAAAAAGAGAAGTAGAAGTTAAGAAGGAAACGTACTGTTCTCAACCAACTTGGGCATGCCAAGGAAGATGACCATGCTGACCAAACCGAGCAAGATCATGGGGTTCTTGAGGATCGAGAGAACGGAGACTATAACAGGCAAGTTAAGTTAGCATATCGATCATCATAATCATCAGGCAGCCCTCCCACCCTTCCCACCCCCCTTCTCCGTGTGCCAACAGCAAAACTCACATTTACCCCTCTCCATAAAATATCCCTTCTCACCCAACACCTTCGCTCCAAACACCACCCCGTTATTATCTCCTGCATTGCTCAGCTTCTGCCTCGGCGCCTCCTCCCCCTTATTATCCCAATCATTCCCCCTATACGTCTCCCACGCCTTCACCTCCAACTTGACCTGACCATGGCCATCGCCCTCCTCGAGCACGCCATCCAAGACGGGCGCCACGTCTACCCGCAAGGGCGCGAACGCGTGCGTCGCGCAGTGGATGTCCAACAGGTAGGAACCCTGCGTGACGTTGCGGAACACGAGCGTGTTGGCGACGCTGAGCGGGGCGGACTTGGTCTGTCCGAAGGTCGAGAGCGTGCCGTGCGTCGAGGGCGGGAAGACGAAGAGCTTGCCGCCCAAGGTGTCGCCGGGAGGAGCGGAGGGGAGGGTTATTGTTATCGAGGTTTGGGGAGGATGGGCGAGTGCTGCCGCGAGGGCGGTCGTGGCCGAGGCGGCCAGGAAGGCGAGAGTGGTGGTTAGGAGTTGCATTGTTGGGGTTCAGTTTGGGCGGACTGTCGAGTTTGTTGAAATTGGTTGTTTATGAGCTCTGCATCCTCCAACAGATAAAGACAAAACCGAGGGCAATCACGAAAAGACCGAGGCGGGTGGTGATGCGCTGGATGTGGTGATGTTGGTGGGATGTCGAGGTTGAGGTCGCGGAGGCAGTTGAGGTCACTGTTGTGACGTTTGGGTAGAGCTTTAGGGAAGCTCCAGCTGTGACGAAATGGCGGGTGCGGCTCTGAAGGAGATCGTGCAAGGATTTTGATTGGCGCTGTGAGCAACACGCTTTGGGGCATTTCTACGGCGAGCTACAGCACCAAACATAGAAATAATGATTTGAACAAGCAAAACATCACCAAATAGGTTTAAGCGACCAGCCATATCCACGATACCGGTGATTCACGGTCTTTGCTTGTTTTGTCGTCGCCCATCTGGTGAGTCAATATCTTCATTTTCATGGCCTTTTTAACCCGCTCACCCTAACTTCAAAAACATCACTCTTGATGCGCATACAGCAAGGTCATTCACGGCAGGCTAACATTAAACCCTTGTCTTTACACAAAAAGGATGGGATTGAACGACATATCCAGAAATCAAAAACCGTCCTTCAACCCAGCTAGCACCAGCACAAACCACTGCAGCATACAAGCACAGCAAAGACAACAAATATCGACATCAGATCAAAACGCAAGTAGATTCATACACATATACAAAAAACGCCAACAACGCTGGTGATGATGACGACGACAACACACCCTTGGACCTTCCCAATTCCCCTTCTATAGCTTAGACTTGTTCTGGGCAGCGGCGTTGATCTCCTCGTACATGCGGTCGATCTCGGCTCTGAACTTCTTGGCGGTCTGAGGACGCTTGAGCTTGAGACTGTTTGATTGTTAGCATTTTGGCTCGATACGTTCTGCAGTTTTCAAAACGAGGGTATCAAAACTTACGTTGGTGTCAAGAGCTCGTTCTCAATCGTAAACGGCTCAATGTCCAGGTACACATTCTTGACCTTCTCATAGCTGTTGAACTTGTGGGCCTTGCCAATGCCATCCAGCAGCTTGAGGACAGAAGTCTTGACACGGGGGGTCGTTGGCGGACTGCTTGAGCTCCTCGAGGTTGTCAGGGGAAATGTTCTTCTTGAGTATCCTGCTGGCGTAGGGCGCGAAGGTGATGGGGTCGACGCCGAAGATGGCCACCAGGCTGCTCTCCTTGGGGTCGCCGTGCACGAACGCCATGGCGATCAGGTTGGTGCTGGCCATGTACACGTTCTCGATGCGCTCAGGGGAGATGTACTCGCCCTGGGCCAGCTTGAGCACGTTCTTCTTGCGGTCGATAATCTTGAACCGGCCCAGGCTGTCGACCTCAACGATGTCGCCCGTGTGGAACCAGCCGTCCGCATCCATCGCCTTGGCGGTCTCCTCAGGGTTCTTGTAGTATTCCTTGAACATGATGGGACCGCGCATGAGCAGCTCGCCGCGCGGGTTCGGCTTGTCTTCGACCGTGTAGTCGTAGTCAGGTACGGACTCGATGCAGAGTTCGACCGAGGGCACGGGGGGCCGATGTTGCCGGTGGTGAAATCGCCGGGAACCTGGACAGTGCCGGTGGCGTACGACTCGGTCATGCCGAAACCTTGGACAAAATCGTTACCGAAGGCGGCACGGAGGAACTGGTGCACGTCGGGGTCAAGTTGGGCGGAGCCACTGACCATGGTGCGGGCGCGGTCGAGACCGACGCCCTTGAGAACCTTCTTGGTCCAGATGCGGTCGTACAGGAAGTGCTTGTTGGTGGCCTTGCCGTGGGGAAGGGCCATGCTTTGCTTCTTGGCCTCCACAATGTAGCGGGAGAGAGTGCCCTTGAAACCGTCGGCGTTGACGGTCGCGGCCTGAACAGCGCTGTTGATGCGGTTGTACAGGCGCGGGACGGACATAAGGCCGGTCGGGCGCAGGATCTTCATATCCTCGACCAGGCCAGCGATGTCGCCGTGGAAATAACCGATGCTGGCGCCCTCAGCCAGAGCGGTCTGGTCGGCCATGCGACCGTAGATATGCGCCAGGGGAAGGTAGGAGATGTGAACGTCGGTGGAGAGAATGCTCTGGTTCGAGCGGGCGGCAGCAATACCGGCCACACCCTGAGCGTGGGTGATCAGGACACCCTTGGGGTCGCCAGTGGTGCCCGAGGTATAGTTGATGGTGAGAACATCCTCACGCTTGGGGGGCTTCATGGAGAGGCCAGACTTGACACCGAGCGCCTCAACCTCATCGATGGAGAAGATCCTGATGCCCACACCGCCGGCGGCGGCATTGAGGAGCTCGCGCTTGGTGTGGCCAGCGGGCTCACCAGCATCCAGAGGGTCCAGGGAGATGATGAGCTTCAAGGAAGGGCAACGCGGCGCAAGCTTGAGGAGAGTCGGGATATGGGGCACAGAGCATGTAATGGCAGTAAGGCCGCTGTGGTTGATGATGTACTCGGTGGTCTCGGGTCCGAGAGTCTCGTAAAGAGAGATGGGGAACAGGGACTGGGAGATGAGCGCAAGCTCTGTGATGCTGTTAGTATACTTCACGTGCATAACATGTGCAGGGCGCATCTTGTCAAAAAGTACGTACCAGTGATCTGCCACTCGGGACGGTTCTGCGCCCACAAACCAACACCGTACTTCTCCTCGGTGAAGCCAATGGACTTGTGGAGAGCGACAATACCGGCGCCAAAGTTCTTCCTCCGCTCAGCAACCTCCTTGTAGGGGATCCAGACATACTTGGGCTCGAAGGTCTTGGTGGCGGCATTCCATGGGCGCCATCCCAAGCACTTCTTGTTGGGCACCTTCTCAACCGAGGCCTCGAAAAGATCGTGGAGGGTCTGGTGAGCCGGGTCGAAGGTCTCAAGGAGAGGGCTGTTGACGAGCTTCCAGTGACGGTAGACGGCAGTGCGGTTGGGGCGCTCGGTGCCGGGGACGGGCAGGGCGTAGGGAGTGCCAGGCGGAGGAGGCTCGGCGATGGACTTGATATACGCCGCGGTATCTTGTTTGGGCGCCATGATTATAGAGTGAGGTAGGACGGGCTGAGTCGCGTAGTACTGTTACGGTCAAGGAAGAAGGCGCGTTATCGCAAGAGGCGCAAACGGGTAAAAAGAGAGGTTATCGCCAACACCGTCACCGACACTTGGAAGGTAACAAAGGGGGTTGATGGGCGCAAAAAGAAGGTCACCGTCGCTTGCTTGGGGGGTTGGTATGGTGCTGCTGCTGAAGAGAAACACTTGGAGAGAAGAAGAGAAAGAAACAAAACGATCTCGCAACTTCAGACAGGCAGAAGACAAAGTGGAAGAGCTCAAAGAAGCAAGGATGGACGGCCACAGGAAGGCGTTCCCCTTTTCGAACATCCAAGAGTCGGTTCTCGGCAGCATGTGGTCCAAACCATGGAGCCAAGGTGGTCCTGAGCCGAGTGTGACGAAGAGCGGAGCTGCTAGCACAGCGAGGTGTGGGTGGTCCAGTCCGATCCAGTCTGATTCCAGTCTGGGGATCCGGTCCGTGGTCAATCTTGGTTTCTCGGGATTGGTTGTCTGGAGACTTTGGCGTAAATGCCAAAAGGTACCTCGTCTCGACTTTGGGAAGTGCCGCGGCTCTTTTGGAGTCTTGGAAGCCAAGGGATGCATGGAAGTCCAATCGGGATCTGCCATGGACCCATGATTGGAGAGAGAGAAATGGAGAGTCTCACCAGGGAAAGAGTGCGAGGTGGCAGTTTCCATCTCTGATATTTTTTTTATGTCTATCACTTACTCAGCCCTTATACCTGTCATCACTATTTCAGTCAGGAGGTATGCAGCTTTTGATGCTGTAGAGGAAGACTGGTGGCTCTGAGGTAATGTCTTCGTATCTGGACATGTTGTTGACATGCCGGATCCAAATGATGAAGAATGGGAAACCATAAAAAAAGTGGAAGTGCCCGCTGGCAATGACGATTGGGGGGACCCTCCGTGGAAACAAGCCGAGGCTCATGGCCGGGGTCAGGTGGACTAGTGGCGGCAGCCGTGGAGATGTCTGAACTCTGAAGCGAATGGGCTCTTTTTTAGTGCCATCCTCTCCACGTTGAAAATGGAGATGCGATGGAAGGCCAAACACCGTTCAATACGACTTCAGCCAATCATCATTTCCCATTTCATCCAATGCCATTTCATGCGTTGTCTCTCGTCTGGAGTCTTTGAGAACGCGGAATTCTGGCAAACCCGTCAGATCCGCACGGCAGTCTCCCCTGACACAGGTAGGTACCTATTCGCCGTACAGCACAGTACCTTGCGGTGTGCATGCAGCCGGGTGAGATGCCTTAATCATCAACATCATCATTATCACCACAAGAGATGATTGACCACCATTCATTCCACTCGTACAGAGGGGGGGCCGTCTGTCTGTCATCCTCTGCGGGTTCAGCCCGGTGATGGTCATTGACACCCATATTCGGGTCATGGCTCCGTCGCCCAAGACTCGTAACGGCCTGTCACATGCGGTGTCGAACAGAATCCCGTGCTATGAGCCTGCAACAAATGCACCGCAGCCAATTTGTTATCGTGCAGTTGGAAATAACTCTGGGGAAGCTCTTGTCGAGCGGGGTTCCTTCCCCAACTCCTAGCATTTTCTCACCAGAGGAACCCTGATTAAACCCGATAAAACACGGGGCTGTCCTCTTGGCATTCTGTGGGGATGATTGATGAACCTTGGCGCCAAAAAGTGAAGTGAGGATTCGTGATTGTGAATTCCAAGAAGTCGCAGCCAAAAAAGGAGGAAGGTGCCGGTGTTGCACTTGCACATACAGAAGCACGAGATGGGACTAACATGGCTTGTCATGTGCTTTTGGCAGTCATAATTTCGAGATGATTGCGGGATGACGGATGCGGGGAATTGGAAACTGACACTGACATGAAAGACCGTTCGGCATCCCGCTGGAGTCCCACCATCTCCAAGAAAACTCCATCCCGTCAGGCAGCCCCAGCGGCGTTTGTGCACCCGACTCAGTGGACTCCAACAGAAGCGGGACATTTCCATCAACTGGATCCTCACTTTCCAGACGGCGACCTCTATTTATGTTTAGAAGACAAATCATCACGGACCGTGGCAAGAAATTGCTGTTTTACCATTTCGCTCTGTTCCGTGGCATGCATGGGCGGGTTCACCTCCTTTCCCTCCTGTCACAGGGGCATTTCTGACACGAATCAAGGCTGAGACACGTTGACGTCCACTAGAAGAACCGGTTCTTTTTGGGCGTTCTGGGCTTTTGGCAAATGCCGATTCAACATCGGCAACTCTTACATATTGTATCATGTACTATGGCTGACTCGAATCGCCAGTTTGTCAGGCTTCTATGAATACTTGTGAGGGTTACAATTAGTGTTCGGGGAGGCCCTACGGGGCTCGGCCCTTCCGTGGTGGATGAAAGGCTGGATTAGTTACGGTAGTTACGGTAGTCTTTACGATCTTGCGTTGTTGTTGCGGTGTTGGCTTACGGGAAAGAACGCGAAAAACGGGAGAATGGGAGAACGGTAATGCACTAACATAAAAAGCGCGAAATTCAGTTAGTGCTAACAGTTATTTTGCGGGCGAAAAGTGTATTTTCGGGCCGTGCGTTCTGATTTGGGTAGTGCGTGCGGGATTTTGTATGGGTCCCGCCCGCGAAATGTATTAACGTACTAACCGCACGCGACCTGCATGACTTGTGCTGTAGATATATAGAGAAGCGTTCACTGTTAAGCCGATAGTCCAGCTTTGGACTGAACAGCCTCGTGGCGTGCGGTTTCTTGTCCATAGCACTGCCACAGTCGAGTTATCTGAAGCCAGGGGAGAAGGGGGAAAAGGAGGACGGACATTCAACTTTACACTGAGCGCCAGAAGATATCACCACTTCTCCTGTTGCCTTGGCAATGGCGATCACACTCGGTAACCATACCGAGCGGTATGCAGACCATGGTGAAGGACTCTATTTCCCTTCCCCACTGGGATGTTCAGGGTCTTTACAGGGCGTTGCCATTGGCTCAGCACATCTTCAGCGCTACGACACAGGACTCACCCGTATGCAACTTGTCTGTGGATGTAGGAACCGTGTTTCATGACGGCTTCATTATCCGTGACCGAGTTTGGTACGGTAGCATTCGAGATTCCAAGATCGGTTCAACCGGGCGGCTACTGGGCAATGATCCAGAAGATCTGGTTGATAGAGCTCTATTCAGTGGAAAACGAAAGGCTGGACCTCGATAAGCGACTTTAAGCTTAATGGGCTCGAAAAGCTTCTTTTGTGTCCTTGTGTTGATCTGCAGCCGTTTCTCTTTTCATCTACTCTTTTTCATCTCTCATCTTTTCGTTCATCTCTCACAGCAGGTCTGATCTCTTCTTTTCGTGATACCCTTTGCCTGGTGCATTTTCCTACAGTTTTCTCGAAATTCGTCACCAAGTCTTCGTCGCGATTCAGCATCAGTGAGCCAAAGAGCCAGAGAAAGGAAACGAAAAGCAAAAGGGAAAGCTGAACATTTCAAGATGGGCTTCAACATCCTTCTGCCCATCAGGGTCCTCCAGGCAACCTTCTCAATAATCATAATAGGTCTCTCGGGCTTCGGTAAGCTTATCATTATCCGCTCAACTGACAACAAAAAACCACGATCAAAGCTAAAGCTAACACTTCACACCCACAGTCGCACACTGGTATAACGCAAACACAACCTACCTTCCCCCCTCGCAAATCAGCTTCCTCCTATTCTGCGGCGTCTACTCGCTCCTCTCCATCCTGTACCTCGGCCTCATCAGCAAACTCTTCCCCAAAACCTCCAATCCCTACGCCGTCCTCTCGCTCGAGATCACCAACTTGCTGTTCTGGTTCGCCGGCTTCGTCTCCCTCTCCACTTTCCTGTCCAAGCTCCTTTTCTGTAGAGGAAGCGTATGCGGCGCCGCCCGCGCCGACGTCGGCATGGCCGCGTGCCTATCCGTCAGCTGGACCGTCACCATGGCCCTGCTGGCCCGGGATGCCATCAGGTCGGGGGGCTTCGAGGGGTTCCGGGGGGAACATCGGTTTCCTGAGGCACAGGCGAAGTGGCAGCGGAAGTCGGTCGGCTTCGATGGGGGAAACGGTGGGCATGTCGGCCAAACATCCTATGCCCCTTCCGACGGCCATGATGATGAAGAAGGAGGGTGGGTATTCCCAGGTGTCGCTGGCTTGAAGGGGCTGGTTGTTGTGGCTAGGCTGCATGAGCACGAGAAGGAAAAGAAGCGGATGAAGATAAGAGGTTATAGAATTACACCGTCGATGGAAGTGGTGAAGAAGAAGGTTGTGGGCGCTTGGGATCGGAGGGGAATGGAAGTATCCTTCCTCCCCGTGTAAGGATGTGCCCGGGCATGTGATATGGGGATATGATGGTACACATGAGGTTATGGTTTATCACGAGCGATGCTTTTTCAACTGGACTTGACTTATGAATCGAAACGAGTAAACATGTGGACAGGTTATTGTTTTTGGCTAGGTTTTGAACAATGAGGAAATTCTCGAGGTATTGGCGTTTGGTAGTGGCATTTCCCCAATAGACACAACGGACGTTTGGTCAACAAGATTGAATGGCCCGGTGACACATTTCTGAATTCACGTTATCGCCATGAGCAAAATAGTCAAGAAGGTATAAAGCGCTACTAAAAAACCAGACACCCTGCACCTTGCTGGTCTTACAGTTTCGTTTTCATCGTCTTCATCGTCGTGACCATAAAATGGAGACCCACTTTTTTCACTTGGGGCATCGTTATGGCATTCCGAGATCGGACGCAGGATCCAACGCTACACTACAGGTGCGTCGGTTCGGAACTTCGGGAACCAAAGCGTACAATGTTCAGTTGGGAATATCTCTTCCGTATAGAAGACGTGGGCTTTTTTGTGTAGCTTAATATGTCTTGCTACTGTACGTGCAAAGGGGGTAATGTGATGAGATGATCGAAACAAAATCCCAACGGAAAGGGTATACAGTAAGCGATCGACAGGTCTTCAATCTGAACGTGGTCTAGGTTTGTTGCCGTGATGGAAGCCATAGATGACGAACACATCTCAGCTGAGCGTGGTCTGGCTTTTGAAATTATTGCCTACGGGCAGATAAGAAACGGATGCGCCAAGCAGAGCTTGGAAGGGGGGTGATGAGCTCCTGTTGAACCTATTCAGAGCCATTGGGACTTCAGCTGGTGTCTTGTTCTGCAAGCCGATGCAACCGCGAGGCGACAACCTGTTGGCGAAGAGGGTCAAGATGTCTCGTGTTCTTGGGAATCATTGTCATTTGTTCCTGGCTTTGAGCGAGGAGTATCCAGGTACGAACTTGGAGAAGCCAACCCTATTGAGGATCTTGTTGTAGTCCATAAGTAGACACCTACGGGTAGTTAAGAGATAAAGACCCCACTTATATATCTGGGAGCGGATGAGATACCAAAGAAACACTTCTTTTGACACACACGATGATAGTTCCTCCTCTTCCTGAATATGAGACGGAAAAAGAAACAATAGACGAATCTTGAGTTTATAAAACATGGAAAGTCCATAGGCCAGTGATCAGGCGTGGTTGCCCCGCGCCATGAGTCGATGGTGCGATTGCGTGCTCGGAGCTGCTGAAAACTCGACCCCACACTTTTCCCAACTGGGACAGCACAAGGTGGGATGGCATCACTGCATCACCGCATCTCAGGGCCCTCAAGGTACCCAGTACGTGTAGATCACCATCGACATGGGATGGGTTCTATACCGCCAACCCGCGTTTTGAGCGTTTTTGACGGGTTTCCGAGGGTGGAATGCGTTTGATCCATCAGCTAGTGGAAACTCGACATCGGACGGAAGAGTAGCATGGTCAGGTACCGGATACCTTTACCTAGGTTATGCTTGTCCGGCCCGGAGTCAGTCAGTCAGTTCTGGACCAGCTATGCGGCAAGACAAAGAGTAGAAGAAGAAGACATTGCCCGAATCCCGATAGCTCCTGAATCGCGAAATCTCTTCCTTCCTCTCTTCTTCTTCTTTGTCCTCTTCTTCTTCTCCGTCATATACCCCATAGCTTGAGCTGTCAACCGAAGAGTCCAAAGTCTCCAAGATACTTACCTCGAGCTCTCACCACTTCGTTTCTGAGCTGGCTTCTCTGCTGCACCACCTCCATCACAACCATGAGCCAGCACTTTGAAACTCTCCAGCTCCACGCTGGGTACGTTATATAACTCTCCCTCACTCCTCGACTGATCATTGACTGACTTCCGTCGCAGCCAGGAGCCTGACCCGGCCACCAATTCCCGTGCCGTCCCCATCTACGCCACTTCTGTAAGTCGTCAATACCTCTTGTACAGTGGAGTGTACGAGCTGTGGTGGCTTCAAGAGCAGACGCTGACGAGTTTGGTGGCATTCAGAGCTATGTCTTCAACGACTCTGCCCACGGCGCTCGCCTGTTCGGCCTCAAGGAGTTCGGCAACATCTACTCCAGAATCATGAAGTGAGCCAAAGCCAGAGCAAGAATAACTTAAAACCGAAGCCGAAAAACAAAATACTCTAACACTGGTGGTGTACCAGCCCTACCGTCGATGTCTTCGAGAAACGCATGGCTGCCCTCGAGGGCGGTGTTGCCGCTGTCGCTGCTGCCTCCGGCCAGGCCGCTCAGTTCATGGCCATCTCCGCGCTCGCCCACGCCGGTGACAACATTGTCTCGACCTCCAACCTCTACGGCGGCACCTACAACCAGCTGAAGGTCATGCTTCCCCGCTACGGCATCCAGACCAAGTTCGTCACTGGCGACAAGCCCGAGGACCTGGCAGCTGCCATCGACGAGAAGACCAAGGCTGTCTATATCGAGAGCATTGGAAACCCCCGCTATAACATCCCCGACTTTGAGGCTATCACCAAGCTTGCCCATGAGAAGGGCGTTCCTGTTATTGTAAGTTTTCCACAACCACGTTTCGTTGGCATCCTCACCCAAGTGAATTTACCTGCTAACTCTCGCTGCTCTCCTCAGGTCGACAACACCTTTGGTGCCGGCGGCTACTTCGTCCGCCCCATCGACCACGGCGCCGACATCGTCGTGCACTCCGCTACCAAGTGGATCGGCGGGCACGGCACCACCATCGGCGGCGTCATCATCGACAGCGGCAAGTTCGACTGGGGCGCGCACGCTGACCGCTTCCCGCAGATGGTCGAGCCGTCCGAGGGCTACCACGGGCTCAAGTTCTGGGAGACCTTTGGGGCCATCACCTACATCATCCGGGTGCGCGTGGAGATCCTGCGCGACCTGGGCGCGTGCCTGAACCCCTTCGCCGCGCAGCAGCTCCTTCTCGGTCTCGAGACGCTGTCGCTCCGCTGCGAGCGCCACGCCCAGAACGCCCTCGCGCTCGCCCGCTACCTCGAGCAGAGCCCGTACGTCAGCTGGGTGTCGTACCCCGGGCTGGAGAGCCACGGGTCGCACGAGAACGCAAAGAAGTACCTCAAGCGCGGATTCGGCGGCGTACTCAGCGTCGGCATCAAGGGCGGCGCCAACGCCGGCAGCCAGGTGGTCGATGGCTTCAAGCTCATCTCCAACTTGGCCAACGTCGGCGACTCCAAGACGCTGGCTATCCACCCCTGGTCTACCACCCACGAGCAGCTGACGGACGAGGAGAAGATCAACTCGGGTGTTACCGAGGACCTGATCCGTATCTCGGTCGGCACGGAGCACATTGATGATATCATTGCCGACTTTGAGCAGTCGTTTAAGGCTGCGTCGGCGACTTCGACCAAGAAGGACGGTGAGCAGGATTTAGTGGTTGGTCAGGGCAAGGCCGAGGAGGCGGCGCCTACTGTTGTCTAAGTGAAGTGATACCATTTCGATTTTAGGAAAGCGTTGTTCTTTTTGAGTTAGTAGTAGCGAGACAAGAAATTATACCCCACCATCTTACAAACACATTGTTGGGCAGCAATAACATGTCAACAAGAAGAAGATGATCGATGATGGAAGGTTGAGACTTCAAGCTACACAACTGCCGATACAACTCGGCTTTTTTCCCCCCTGAATGTGCTCTGAGGACTTGCAAATGCACGGCAATTATTTTAAAATACGTATCCCATTCATCGTAGGTTTCAAGTAGAAAGTCGTGTCCTAGCTCTGTCTCCCATAGTAGTTTCCCCATGCCGACTCCCATGCAAAGACGCCAAACCAAACCCATACCATAATCATCAGGACATTGTCAAGAAAAGAAAGAAAGAAATGATCCACTGCATAGAGAGAAGAGTGGCAGTGTCTCCTAGCGCAGTTAAAGACCCTCTAAAACCATACTGCTGAAAACTTCGGCTTGAGCTCGATTCATGCTTGAGCAAGCGAGCAAGCGAGCAAGCGAATTCTGCTTAGTTTAGAAGTCATCGCCGCCAAAGTCCATATCACCACCGTCATTGCCGTCATCTGTAATCATACCCGTTAGCATATCTGCCTTACCGCACCAGCAACACCGTACTCATTTCCATAAAATGGAAGGGGTCATTAGGATCAAACTTACTATACCCATCCTGATAAATCTCCTGATCGTGGTCATTGACCGCATCAGCAATCAGTGCGCCACCCAGAACACCCGCGCCCAAACCCAGCGCCGCACCGCCCATCATGCCCATGCCGCCGCCGCCACCGCTCCTAGCGGGACGGCCGTAGGCCTGTTGCTGCTGGTAATAGCCTTGCTGGGGAGCGTATCCTTGTTGAGGGGGATATCCTCCATATCCACCCTGCTGGGG